GCAGTGTCACTGGCCCTCATATGTGGGATCCGAACCGGGGCCCTCTGGCGTCCCAAGCCAGCTCTTAACCAACGTGCCACTCGGCCGGCCCTTCTATTCCTACTTTGATGAGTTATTTTGTAAAACTGATGATAGGATGCTGGATTTTGTCAAATGCTTTTTATTTTCACCAAGTGAAATGACCATGTTTTTTTTTTTCCCCTCGCTTTTTGTATTTGAACCATCCTTGTATTCTTGGGATAAATTCCACTTAATCATGATTACATATATATAATCCTCTTAATATGATGCTGGACTTGGTTTGCTAGTATTCTGTTAAGGATTTTTGCATCTGTATTTATAAGTATTGATCCATAATCTCTTCTTGTGATAGCCTTCCTTTTTTAAGTAGAAGGAGCACATCTATATGTTACTTGGTGTCCATTCCAGGAAAGCCATAAATAGTTTATGAAAAAAATGCATTATCCTGACTTTGAGGCTTGTATTTGGGAAAACAAAATCAAAAGTATAATCAGAAGCTACAAGACATTAAAAGAAGTCATAATTATCTAAGGGCATAAATGGTTACAGTCACTATTTTGAAACGCAACAATAAGTAACAGTGTCAATAAATATAGATCTAACAGCCTGATGTGGAAAGTCATGGTACACTCATACACAGAAGACTATGGGAGTCCACAGAAGGAGCAGCCAAATCAGACTGAGGATCAAGGAGGATAGAAGAGTTGGTGTTTTGGCTGAGTCACTGAGAGCAAAATCTAGCTGGGGAGAGAATATATGTGTAAAATTATAAATAACCTAGACTAGTAGTGTAAGTACTAAATAAATTCAAGTCAGTAAATGATACTTCTTACATGCATTGGACTGGTTGGAAAAGAAAAGAAGGTGGAATTTAAGGTGGGCTTTAAAGTTCAGGTAGAATTGAAATAGAGAAGAAGGGAGTGGGACGAGTCGGAATCTCAAGTAAAGATTAATTTGGGAGATGGTATGTAGCAATTTTGGTGGCTGTAAGGTTTATACAAGGGAATAGTGTTGAAGATACACTTAGGTCTTGAAAGACAGATAGGTTAAACTTGGACTAAGTTATGGTTAAAAACTAGACTATGTAGATAGATTGGATAAACAAAAGGATGTACAATGGGGAAAAAGAGGAGTGTAGAGACAGAAATTGATATTGGAGTGAGAGGAAGAGAAGGGAGAGTTACCTCACCTCTTGAGGTATCTCTGAACCACAAGCTGTATTGGCATTAGAAATGGGAAAGTTGAGCTATACTTATCATCAAACAAATGAACATATTTTATGCCAATTGGTGCAAAATTCTTGAATAATGCCTTTGAAAAGATGCTTTAGGAATTCCTGTGCTTTCTTATGTATCTTTCTTGAAGTTTCTTGTATTAATATTTAGGATGTGACAGTATCTATCTGTTTCCTTTGTGAACGATCATAGATAAGACAAGTACTATGTCAAAATGTGCTGGATTATGAGATTTCTGAAATTAATTTTTAATTATTTACATGATTTACATGAATACATTCTTGTAAAAAAAATGGGAACAATATAAACACAGCTTAAGGGCTCCAATTCTGATCCCCTCTCTGACACCACTATTAACATAGTGTGTATTCTTCTAGACTTTTTGCCATGTATTTACAAACATGAATTCATATAAAATACACACTTTTATAAAATACCTGTTATACTGCACTTTTCCTTCTGCAACTTAAAAAACAACAACAATCCATTAGATTGATTCACCTTTAAACTGCTGAAAGTACACTGTAATGTGGAGTATCACAACTCATTCAGCCATTTAACCTGCTGTGAATGTCCCAAATCTTCAATATTACTAAGCTGGATAGAACATCTAGCATAGAGCTCCTTGTGCAAACGTGCTGGTGTCTCCCTAGCATTACCAGCAATTAGTGAAATTGCAGGGTCACAGGAAGGTGTATTTTAAAATACATTATGCCGAATTGTCTTCCAAAATGCCTGTGCCAATTTACACGCTTATGCAGAGATTTTAACCACTCCTTTCTCGGTACAGATAGTTTTCCCCCAGGAGGGTTCTAGGTGTAGCAAACCGCGTCCCCACCCCCGGGTTCAGATCAGGGCGGCACGCCCCGGCCACTTCTCCTTGCATTAGTTTCGGCCCCACCTAGTCCGCTCGGGGGTCCGTCCTCTTGGCCACGCCCCTTCCGGGGACGGGGAGTGGGTGGGCCGTGACGTCACTGCCGGCCGGACGCCATCTTTCTGGTTTGCGGTGGGTCTTGGATGTAGTGGCAGCGGTAGCGAGGGCGTGGGGAAGGGTGGGGTGAGGGGGCGAGGCCGCGGCGAGTGCGGCGAAACTCTCCTCCCCTCTGCCCCACCGCGTGGGACGGCGTGTACGCGGTGTCGGAGGGATGTCCGCCTTCTCAGAGGCGGCGCTGGAGAAGAAGCTGTCGGAGTTGAGCAACTCGCAGCAGAGCGTGCAGACCTTGTCTCTGTGGCTTATCCACCACCGCAAGCACTCGCGGCCCATCGTCACCGTGTGGGAGCGGGAGCTACGTAAAGGTGAGTCGCCGGCGCCCCGCCACCCGGCCTGTTCACTGGCGCCACCGGGACCCCCCGCCCCGCTGCCCGGCACCCGCCTACCCGGCGCCCCCGGCTCCCTGCCTTCGATGGTCCGGGGGCTGGGAGAAGCAGCGTGCACCGCGCTTCCTGCAAAGTCGGCGCTTATAGTAGGTATTGCTGAATAAAGGTGCGAAGGATTCAAAAAAGAACTTTTATTGATTTAACACAGAAACAGTAATCAGGGGCTCCAGTCTCCGCACCTAATTAGGGCCAGCAATTCAAGCAGTCAGGTATTTTTTTCATTCTGCATATTCATAATGGAGACTGGGGAGGAGAAAGCGAGGGAAGTGGAAAGGAGAAGGTTGGTGTGGGGTTGCGAGTTGCTGCCATCATTTCTATAACACATCTACTCAATCTTGTAAAATCTTGTAAAATTAATAGAGGAATCAGAGTTTTAGAACTAGGGAGCCTACAAGAAGATGCGTGATGCAATGGAAAGACCTCTGAATTTCTAGATTTTAGAGGACCTGGATTGGGCAAATTTCTTAATTTCTAGGTTGCAGTTGCCTCTCCCGAATGTGAGGGAGTTGGATTCAGTGATCTAAGGTTTTTTTTCATGCTTTATGATTATAAGCGTCTAGGGCAACGTCTTTATTTTGCAAAACCTTCGATAGTGCTTCTGTAAATGAAGTTAACTTCTTTGAGCAGTAGTCTGCTGTCACTAAAATATCCAGAATCATTTCACTTATGCAGAACACCTTTATCTGTAAGAACTGATTGTATGTTAGTGCGACTGAAAAATAAAAACATTTCATTTGCTTAGTTTGGGTTTATACCTTAATTCTTAACTCGTTGGTAGAGAGAGTGGGAGCTCTTTAATTGTTGTTTCAGACATTCTGAAGTAGCGATATGATGGTTATTTATTGATTAAGGGTTTTAACCGTTGTTAAAATAGATGCCTGTTTACTGACCCATATGTATTCATATGAGAGCCAAATGTGGCATTGAATCTATAGAATGGAGAGAAACTGTCCTTGTGTGTTTGCTTGTGGTTAATTCAATATAAGAAATTGATTTAGAGCTCCATTTTTCAGTTCATGTATAAGTGTATGTGTGTTGACTCTCAAGGAGGAATTCATCTTCTCTGAGTGGCCAGAAAGTTTTGAGAAACTGATATATAAAGGCCTGGAAAACATTTGAGAACTTTGAGAAGGTGGGAATTGTCTTTGTTTCTGTACCTTACTGATTTCAAAATCAGCAACAGGTTTACCCTGTTTTTTGGAAAGAGCATTTAGAAACGTATATAATCAATAAAGGATTAATACCAGACTCTTGAAGAACTACCACAAATCAATAGAAAAATGGCAATACTGGGGCCAGCTGAGTGGCGCGTTGGTTAAGAGTTGGCTTGGGATGCCAGCTCTGAGCAGCAGGGCTGTGGTTCAGATCCCACATGAGGGCCAGTGACGCTGCGCCCTCTACAGCTAGACCTGGAGCGGGGCTGCGTGAGTCCCCAGCAATGGCGTAGGCTGCAGTGGAGCTGCAATGGGCTGCCATGAGCTACCATGAATTGGCTGGCAGC